ACAAAAACAGACAAAGCATCCGTGGGTCTTACCCCTCTCCCATCACACACCGGGCTCACGCGCTCAGCCTGACACGCACAGTTTGTTTGGTACTTTTAATTTGACAGGGCCTCTCTCTCTCACTCTCTCTCTTCCCCTCCACACAAATATCCCTACCGCCGCCGCCACAACCGCCTCTCCCAAACCTACACACACGTAGACTTTTAATTTGACAGCGCACTAACAAGAGCCTGCTGCTTGTCAAATGTTCTCCAATGGCAGCAGGGATCTTGCACAGCCAAGGGGGTTCGTGTTCAAGGACATCTGTGAGGGAAGAAACACACACACATACACACACACACGCACACATACACACACTGTGAATGTAGGCTGCTGGTGGAGTGAGGAAGGCGCCATCCTGCCATGCTCCTGGATTTTTCCCTCTTTATCAACAGATCTTTTCCCCCCCCTTCTCCTCCTTAGGTCTTAAGTAGAAAGCTGAGAATTTGAGATAGAGCAGGGGAGATTTTGATTTTGTCACACGTATCAATTCGGTCTTCAGTCCTCAATCCAAACAACAGGGGACCTTTTCAAGTTGCTCAAAGGCAGAGGCGACTTTAGTCCTCATTGAAGGTGCATGTATGTGTGCCTGTCGAGTCTGTAGGGGACGTCCCATGCTGCTTTTTGCACTTGGTTCTGGTGGGACTCTTTGCTCATTAGGAAGAGGAGAGGCGACTGGAGTGACTAGTGGTTGGCTCCCTGCTTGACTGGATCACAAGGCCAGTCCTGCAGAGCGAGAGGGGAAAAGGAGAGGTTTCAGCCCCGTATTTGTGTCTCCAGGAAAAAAAAAATGGTGGTGGTAATAGGTTTAACTAGAAAATGTCCCAGGGAGCTGAACCCAGTCATAGACCCAGTGCCTCGTCCTGCTGTTCTGTCTGAAATGAACCTACATGCGACTAAAAATATATTAATTTCTCATTTATTATAGGCTTGCATGTCTTGTGTATTTGCAAGTGAAAAGACACATTTCTGCTGTTATTGCGTATGACAGACATTTTCATAATTCTCAACAATTTCTCATATTGTTTCCTTGTTATCCTCCTTGGTTACTGATCTCTTCTTTTTTTTCACGTCTAGTTGTAGACATACATCAAGCACAATGATCTTTCAACAATAACTAACCAATTCAACTATTTCCTAGATTGGAGACTGCGTATGATAGTGGTGAGTCATCATCTCCATTTGTAACCATTTTTACACTATGGAAAAACTCTGATCTTCCCTCCTCAAATAACATTCATCAACCAAAGAACTGCCAATTTGGACAATAAACTATATGCAAATGTTAAAACCAGTAGAAAAATTGGAGGAATTAACATTTTTCACTGTATAGAGAATAATGCAAAATAGAGAAAAAAAATTATAGTAAGCAATTGATTAAAATGAAAATATATATTTTCTTCATGATATGACCCATTTTTTAAAGGTACAGCAAAAAATGGAAAGTCCCCGAATGTCCTCTATTGGATTTAGACCTGGGAAACATGCAGAATGATCCAAAAGAGAGACTGGATAATCCAGACATTACCACAAAGAGAAGTGCCCTGAGTCGTGAGGGAAGTCGCCACATAGACATCATCATCGTTTGATTGACAGATTAAACGATGATGATCATGATGGCTCCCCTCCACTGTGCTGCAAAGGAACCATCCCAAGTAGAATGTTGGAAGGCATCAGTCTTAAATAGAGGTTAAATAGAGTGTTTCTAACATAGAGAACATGGAGAATAGAACTTTCAATATCCCATGTTTGATTTGCTCTTGCAAAGTTATTTCTCAGATGCCATATGATGGTCGCTGACTGAAGACAGTTTTTGTCACAGAGCAGTCACACTCCTGAACTCTCACTCTGTTAACGCATGTTAGATGCACTTTAATGTGATGTAATATAATTCATGTATAAACTAACAATAGCAGCTTTGTGCAGTTTTGCCTAAATGCTTCTAATGTATCTGTGTTGTAAATATTATCCTATACTTGTGGGGACTACTGGTTTGATGCTAAACTACATTTTGTTGCATCATTCTAACATTATATTGACAAAAAAGTTTTATCTAATCTAATTTTTTTTTATTGTAATATTTGATTTTCCCATTGCCCTAAAGATCTTTTAAGAAATGCAAAATGACTGCATGCTGAGAGCTCTGTAGCTCAACAATCTGATGATGTTCAACAATAGAATGCATTTTGTTTTTGTCATCAAGAGCTCAGGAGTGTGAATGCATGACAAATAATAATATTGTTGGTTTTAAACAGATATGGTCTTAAACTTTAGTTCAACAGTTTATTGTATTTAATAAAAGAACAGTTCAAAATGTGAAGTATTTTCCATTAAACGTTTTTTCAAATGGTCTTAATATTGATTCATACAAAAAGAACCTTCAAGCCTGAAGTTAAAATATTAGTTGCTTCATGATTTCCTTGGCCCTAAAAAGGCCAAAACTTCATGTCGAAAAGGAAAATCCAAATGTCAAACAAACAAAGAGATATGAAGAGATATTTCCTCTGAGATCCTATCTGTTACTGCGTGTTCCAGTCAGATAAAATATTGCTCATCCACGTACAACGATCTAGAAAGGGGTTTGAGTCAGTGGCATCGAAAATACCAATGTGTATAAGCCCAAATCCTCCTTTTGACATTAAACCCAGAAAAACATATCTCTGCAGAAGTTCATTTGTTGCATTTTTATCCAATAACCTAAAGTGCTCAAAGGAAAATATGGCATGTTTATTGTATTTTTTATTATGAGATGAAAACATAGGTTGGAGTTGGATGTGTAAAAATAAAACCCAGATTATTTAAATCCTGTAAATCACAGCTAAAAGTCAATATATAAAGCCAAGGTCTGTGAAACTATCAACGGAGAATAGAGACGATATGTTACCGCGTTGCCAAGTGCTAACACTTAATACCATTAATCTTCAGGCTCCATCTCTGCGTTGCAGTACTGTGTCCTCTAAAAGTATGGATCTTGACCGCAGCACTTTTCCACAGAAGAGGGAAAGGCTAAATAGAAAGCACTGACCCCTCTTCGCCGCAATTTTCCCCTCATCAACTTGTGAGACTTCATTAACTTACATTGGGTAATTTTCTTCTCTCACTGCGTTTCAGAACATGGGTGTGTTATGACGTGTTCCTCTCACCCATTTCTTGCCTTTTAATATCCTCAACTGAAAACACTTTTCATAAGGGCCCCATTTATTTTCATTAACACTTTCCTCTTAAAATAATTAGAAATAATGTTTTTACTGCACGGTGTTGAAAAAAAAAAGACTTTAATAGAAAAATATTAAGCAGCTACTACATGTGTCATAAGAAGAAAGACTAAATCTGCTGGAGCAGGTTCTGTGTTCATGGCTAATATAATGCTGCCCTCTAATGGAAGATGTGTGTATGAGTTCCATAGATTTGGTATGAACAGTTCCTACAAGTCAGCCTCATTCAAAATAACAGGTGTGAGGTGAACAAGGACATTTCTGTAAAAGCCCAATTAACCACATACATAATGTCCAGTCAAAAAGAATTACAACACATTTTCTAAACCAGAGAAACAGATTGCAAAGGTAAAACTTTTAATCTGTTGTAGTTAGCCTGTGTTTAAATGATTATTATTAGGTGGCCCAGTGACCAAAATGAGTTTGACTCCCAGTGTTTGATGATGTAATTACAGTAATAAAACAAAGTTTAAATAGTTTGGAGCATTCAGATTTATTGAAGGCACATCAGTTGAATCAACACAATGGTTGGACATACATTTCAGTTCATTAATTTACTTAAATTACTCAAACAACCGACTGTATTCTTTACACTTGTGAACAAAAGTGTATTCCTTAATGTAAGCAGCCCTTACGTTATGGAGGGAAGAATAAACATGTTTTAATAAATAGAAAACAGCAATGCTTTTCTTTCTAAAAATCTTTACGTTTAAGTCACTACTACTAATCTACAATGCATCACATTCCACAGCAATAATATAAAAACAATTTATATTAGTCTAAAGTTTAACTAATCTAATAAAGTCTAATCCAGTGTATAATTCGTTTTGTGGTCACGGCAATCCCTTCGGAGTTAGAATGAGTGGACAGGGTGAGACAAAGGCCATTCCAGATACAGTGGCACAGTGGTTTTAACCATAAACTTACGGATCACTCGAGTTAATTGCATCAAAATGAACATCCAAACCTCAACATACAATTTGACAAATAATATTGTGGATTCGGACCAATTTTGAAGTACATGGTTTTCCCTAACTTGGCCCATGTATTGAATTTGACCAGCATTGAGCCTCATCAAAGTAAACACACACTATTGAATGTGACTCCAATGACTTCTTAAAATGCCACTTTCAATGATTCGCATTTAGTCAAAAATCATTCTCAAATGTCTCCAACTTTTAAAGGACAACTCCCCCTCAAATCCACTTTTTTTTGCTGATAAACGGTATAAATGAGTGTCCAATAGTGTTGTCTACATATCCTGGTCATAATCTTGTCACTTTGGTGCAAATTAGTTGAAAGTTAGACTTTCTGCCTAAAACCGTCTGTGAGGCGCCATCTGCTGGCGACCTGTATTACTACATTTGAATTTTGAATCTGGCGCCAACACTGGCAGAGGTTGGACCTGACGTCAGCAAGTTGGACCTGACGTCAGCAGCCCCCCGCCCAGAGCAATGTAAACGGCCCAGTCTCGTTCACGCCCCCTTTAGTCCTCCAGGCTACGCCCATTTAGAGGAAGATTTGAACAGGAAATGTGAGTAACGTAAGCTCCGAGGAGCGGGTTTGAGAACCACTTTAATGTTGCTTGAGAGAGAAAAATAATATTTCATTTGATGCTTCTTCTACTCTGTTGTTAAGGTGAACGTATGTTAGTACATTTATAATGATACATTAAATTGTATCATGTTGAATTACAGTTCACAAAGTTAATTTTGTCGCCTGCTTTTATGTTGACTAGAGTCTCCATCACTGACTTTGGACATGATGTCTCTTCTTCAACTCAGTCCCTTCCAAATCCTTCATGCACGTCACTAAGAAGGTACGACACATGCTTGAATACTCTTCAGGGAAATCCCGGAAATGGCTGACGTGCGAGCTGGAACCAAAATCAAAATACTCTGTCGGAACGCCTTTTTGCCTGAAGGCTTCCACAAAATCCTCAATGTCTTTGTGTCTGATAACTTGGTCCCCTTTGGAGTACAAGTAGTAGTGAGGCCAGGCAGGGGGGTTTTCCTTCACGGCGTCGTAGTGGTTCTTGTGGATATACTTGGTCATGGGGTACAACACGATTCTTAACATAAAAACAGTCACTGCAAAAAGTGCTAAGAGGGTGTACCTGAGCAGGGGGCTGATTTGAGGTCCGAGGGTCGCGGTGAGAGCGCGCAAGGCTCCGCGCACGTTGCCGCTTCCGGGGGCGCTGTCCACCACGGCCCCGATTACATTCAAGGAGCTGAACTGTTTATCGGTGTGCAAGAACTCAACAATGTATCGGTATAACATGAAACCGCCGTTACTGAAAACGTGAAAGAATATCGGGCTGTTCTCCACCTCGTAATCGAAGAGGATTTCCAGCAGCTTCAGTGCGATGCTGCTCAGCTCCTTGTAGCCAAAAGACTCAGAGATGAAGACGGTCTTTAGAGGAGCCGTGTAGCGGACTGTCACGCATCCCTGGTGAAGTACAAGTCAATCATTATTGCATTCAGTGAATCAAGAAAACAAGATGGTCAAATAAAAACTGTTTTAATTAAAACTGGGTACACTCTGAGTCAAATGGCTTTCAAGTGGTCTCAATGGGCTCTATGCACGCACCACTTCCGCGTTTTAGCTACTACCCCACTTCACTTCCTGTTCGCGGGAAACGGCTTGAGTTTAACTGGAGTTCAGGAGTGGTTTACACGACTTTCCCAAATAATGCTCAAACGGAAATTAAACTGTGAGGATACTGGGCGACAGTAGCTCACTTGGTAGAGCATTGGCCTTCAGGCCTGAAGGTCGTGGGTTCAATTCCCACCTCTGCACTGATGACTGATGACTGCTGTCGTTGTGTCCTTGGGCAAGACACCTAACCCCACTTTGCCCAAAGCCCCCACTGAAAGATCCAAGCTATGCTCACACTCAGAGAGCAGCCGTCCTCCTGTGGACTCACCACCTACAGAGGGTCAGTGAGGGGCTGGTGCTATGAGACTTGGGTGGCATCTCTGACTGCCACCCCCCTGACCCAGAAATGGATTAAAGGGTAGAAAATGGATGAATGGATGAATGGATGGATGGATGGATGGATACTGGGCATTTTTGGGACACAACAGTGCTCTTTGATTGTGCTGTCATTGTGTTTTTATAAAGTTTACAAAATCACTCAGAGTGGCCACAGTCAAAGCTCTACCTCAGAGAGAAAGCACTTCGACACTTTTGGGCCAGTCTCACAGCTGAATGTATCGATCTAATTACTAAAAAATGTCACTAAAACCCACCTAAAAGCTAAAAGCCAAAGGAAGTGTGTCACGCCTCCCCGTGCATATAGCCCATAAGGTGTACCTCAGTGGCAAATATGTCCCACTAAATATAGTCAAACACACACAGACAAATCACACATTGATTACAATCCTAAATAAAGGAAAACAAGAAAAAATGAAATGTTACTTGTTATTATTAAAATTTAAAACTAGAATCTTGGCTATGAATTATTTACACTGCTGTTACGAAATGCAAATGATCAAACATATTCATTGTTGAAATTAATTCAGACATTTCTCCTGTAATGGACTCACTCAAACAATGACAGACAAGTGTGCCATTTCAGACCAACATTGTATTTTGTTTATTTCTACTGTAATACATGTTCATGTTTTTGCCACATTGCCCACCCCTCCACAGACAACAGGTACAGTGTATGTTATTATGGGATACCTGCTCATTGTACATGGAGCTGTATTTGGACAGGTGCTTGTCCTTGCAGCCAGCCCAGCCCAGCAGGATCACCACTGGCTCCTTGGTCCCCTGCCAGTGCCTTTCTGAAACAACACACAGCAAGCTAACAGCAGCAGAAGCTAAAGCACTGTACAATGGACGAGATGCTCACCAGACGTCCCTGCATCTGGAAACACGATGTTGTAGTCTATTTCACTGTCCGCCATGTCGGTGTCAGTGTATCAGCAGGTGTCCGTAAGCGAGCAGCTCATTTGAAGGCTTTAAATCTCAAATAAATAGACTAAATGTGCGATGTGGGCTTAAATGCACGTAGAGCTGCTCGGTGGACTGTCGCTGCACTTCTTCCTCTGGCTGTAGATGTTCGTGACGCGCTACTGCCCCCGTGTGTTCGACGGCGTTATTGACTGGTCATTATTTGTTGGATTTATTTATTTATTACAGATCCATGGATTTAGTTCAATTTGATATAAACAATGCATTTTAAGCATCGACTGTACATACGATCTATGCTATTGCCATAAAAGTGATAATATTCACACACAATATCAAGACGACACAAAGTACACAATTAGAGCAGTCCTGAAGCAATGTTTTATTTGGGCGCATTTTCATGTAAATGCAAAAAAATAGTCTATTTGTCGCAAAGTCATCGTTACAAGAGAAAGCATAAAAAAACAAGAGAACTTACACTGGTCAGCTAACAGTGAAGTTTATAGGCATTTTTTTAATCTTATCTTCTCATTAATTAATTGAACTGTTTGCGCATACGTGAACGTAGGCATGTAAACGACTTGACAAGACCTAATGAAATCAAAGTTAATTCCAGAATCACTACTCCCTTGACTCCCACACCCTCTCCATTTTTAACACATGTGCTTTGGACGACTTGGCAAAGGAGCTTTTGACAATATTAAGTGGGACAGATTTGCCACTGAGGTACACCTTATTGAGACCACTCAAAAGCCATTGCTGTGCTTCCTGCTTCAGCCCCTCACTCCCAGACACTTCCTCACCTGTTTTTTGGTCAGTGACACAAGAGAAGGCAAATATGTATCCTGTCATGAAAGCATCGAACCCAGCTCTGTGCGTCCCTGTGTCTACTTTCTTTTTTGGTGGTGAGCAGATGGGTGATGGTTTCAGTTTTCCATCATCATCCATATTTTCAGCTCCATTGTTGGTATCAGTGGCTGACATGTCGCTGGTTATAACAGAACTCATGTTTTCATCAGTTGGGATCAGATCGGGCTTACTGACAGACTGTTCATGGTCATCTGTTTCCATGTGCGAAATCTTGTTTTCGGGTGCGCCCTCAAAAATACATGATTCCTCTCCTTTTTTCTTATCTTTTTGTCTCTTTCTGTTTTTTCTCTTGGTGTCTTTGTTTTTTTCATCTTGGAGGACAATGAGATCAGTGTCGTGGGATAATTGACAATCTGTGCCATTCCGACACCATCCAAAAGCCTGCAGAACAAGAGCAGACATAACAAAAGTAATATAATAAACGTGTAATAACAACTCTATCCAACTCACAGAGAACTGTGCACATATTTCAGTCTGTCCCTCTGATGAATTCACATCCAGGCACTCTCTAAAGTCCACATAACTTGACATTGGGCCCTCATATTGGCAGAACTCCACATGGACATGAGGACCAGAGGCCCCAGACATCAAACCACGAGAGTTATCCAGTTTACTGAAGAAAAAAAGACACAAGTGGTTAAACTAAACACTTGAGGCTGATCTTCAAAAGTCAACCACCTCTGACCATTTTTTATAGGCATACTCCAGATAGGAGGCGGTTAGTCTGAGTTCAAACTCAGTTAGATATTTGGTATCATATATTCCAGCAGGAAACATCTCTGACAGATCAGCTGTGAATGTCGCCAGTTGGTCAGGCAGATGAGCATAAAAACTCTAAAAAAAGAGAAAAACCTTTTTGTATAACAATTCAACACTAACCTGAATTTAAATATACAGAATATAAAATTGCACACAATTCTTCATAGAACATTCAACATAATTTACCTGGTATAAAAAGACCATGTCAATGAGGCCATTGTGCACCACCAGTGGTCTCCGTGCACGCAACAGTTCAGTGAATAGCGCTCTGATGTGTACCCCATGGTAATCAGCTTCAGACTGATGTGAAGAAGCAATAAGAACACATACAGTTCAAAGTAGAATCATTTTTTGGGGTTGCGCTCGTGAAATTACCTTATTATTGCCCTTGATATAAGGGATCCCATGAGCATACTGTTTGTTGAAGTCAAACCCGTGCTGCACAAGAAAATGCACAGACTGAGGCTCAATTATATACTCTTCTGAGCAGAGCAGAGTCAGGTTATAAACCTGAACCATGTACGAGTCTGCAGGCTGTGGTGGAGAGAAAAGTGATCAGGTTTGATAACATACTTCCTTTTAGACATCAGATGGTACCACAAATCTGCATTAGTACACATTTTAAAAGCACATTTGTGAATTATACAGTCTTACAATGACTACAAATGATCAGGAAGATTTGAATGAATTTATTTTTCTTATGATTTGTCAATGGTATACGTCTGATCTAATAGTATAGTCATATCGTAGAATGTAATGATGCTAAAACTAATAATAACACTGAAATTGGCGGTGACCTTATTGTCTAGTTTTTTGTAGCATGCAAATCCAAGTGAAATGATGGAGCGGGATCGAGCAGCATGACATATGGCTTTATATCTGTCTTCTATGGATCTGAAACACAAATAAACATTATCAGAAAACAAAAATATAAATAAACTGTATATTTTAGACGCACACCTACTCGGATAGTAAGGACTTCCTGTTCCCAAGACCGCTAAGCTCCTAAAAGGGAGACAAACACATTTCCGTAAATTAACTATTGACAGTCATAATGCAACCTTTTACGGCAGATACGTACGGTGTCGAGTGCGATAAATGATGAGGTTTTCAGAGCAATAACCATAGCAGGCCAAAGCTCTTTAAAATTGTCATTGTGGATATCAATGACTGGAACTACAAACGAAGACATTGCTTTGCACCCGCTTTGCAACTTACTGCCGCTGCTCTGTAATGAAGCCTAATACGTTATCGCTTTACAGACATTTATTCCCGGTCATAAACTGTAAAAGACATTAAGCTGGTGATATGAAACGTGACATTTTAGATTTGAAGCAGCATAAACATTTCAACGTGGTTTGGGGGTCCTTAGAGTGGCCATCTGATAAAAAGGACTAATGTTCAAGCTAAGATGCCTGTGTGCTAGCTAATGTTTGATATGTGACATAAAATAGCCCGTTGCTCAAACAATGTTAAGTTATAATTCTGGAAATTATACACATACCTCTCATTAATATTAATTATGAAATTAGTTTAACATTTAGATTGTAATATATTTCACAGTTTTAAAATACAGGCGTCTAGTATGGTCGGACGTAAACACGGCGTCATCAATATGGACCGCCCACACACACCGGCGCCATTTTGGCTCAAGCAAAGTCAAAAATATTTTATCTTCATACAAATAATTTTAAGAAAAAAACGAAACGGCTTTGTTAATTCACTTGCTAACAGCACATTCGGTTTCTAGAAGTAGAGCTGCATTTAATATGCAACTTGTTCGCATTTGTGAGTAATTTTAAAGATAAAACGCAAGTAAAATACTAATGGTAACTCCCCGTGCAACTCGAGTCAAATCTTAGTTTTCGGTTGTCATTGCGAGACGCTAGTTTGTTGTGGCAATGGGAGGCTGCTCTGCCCCACATTGTTCAAATTCAACCAGTATTGGCAAACAGCTGTTTAGGTTTCCCAAAGACCCAGCGCGTAAAAGGAAATGGGTTGTCAATTGTCGACGTGATTTTGAGCCTACCCCTCACTCCAGACTCTGCGAAGTAAGACCAACAATGCATTGTATGAATAAAACTAACTTTATTTGAGGTTATTGCATTTGACTTGATTTTTGATTGTTACAAACCAGGACCACTTTGAACGCAGCCAATATGAAGAGATTGCCAGATCTCCAGCAGGTGGAAAGAAGCTGAAACCCAACGCAATTCCAACAATTTTTAGTGTTGTAGACCCCCCTTATCCAGCCGTCAATACGCCTTTCATTATGATTCCACTTAAGCCAGAACCAGGTATGCATTTATTTTATCAACACATTTCTTTGTCGTGCCATTTGTTCGTCTTTTGCCTATTTCTTTACTCTTTACTCTAGTGGATAAAGACTTAAATATGGGGGACCATGGCTATGCAAGACGAAATCCACTCCCAGGAATGGATGAAGAGGATGGAGCTGGTGCCAGAGAAGACCAGCAGCCCTGCACCCAGTGTCATCTCCTCAAGAAACAACTGGAGCAAGAGATGCAAAATTCAGCAAGGCTACAAAAAGAGGTGCCTTTGATACATATATATTAATTATACTATTCTAAATATAGTACCTTTATAGCAAATTAGTGAAGGGCTTTCAACTGAAGGAAGACATCCACGGAACTAGGGCTGGGCAATCTGGGAAGAAAAATAATCCAGATGTCCCACCCCACCCCCCCAATATTAGTCTTGATTTCTTATTTATTTTGTATTCAAAAATTAAATTGTGTTTATTAATTAACAAACCTACTCTGAATGTGGACTTTTATGTAATTCACTAAATTGAATTCATTTTATTTTTGTATAGCCCTACATCACAACTGTGGTGGTCTCGGAACACTTTAGAAAGTTGTCCATTTGCCGACAGAAGAATGAAAAAAATAATGCTCGTTTTTAACTTTTCGAATTGTTTTTCAATCTATCTTTTTTGGGATTTGGATTGAAAAGTGCACTGAAAATAGTTATCACTACATTATTGGCATGTTTCAATCTAGGAGTTGAGATTTGTAATCTTTCTTTCAATACATTGATTGTGTTGGCTGTACTGAATAATAGTTTGTATTTTTGAATTCTTCTGACTTTTTTTCTTCTTTCCATTAGGTTGAGGATATGAAAAAGCGTCTCTACCGCCTCGACCGCGTGGAAAAGGGCCTGCAGAATTTCTTGTATGAAGATCAAATCCGTGCTCTGTCACTCACTAAACGTTCTCGGCGCGCTGTCTGGTCTCTTGCGACGATCCTTAAAGCTCGGAAAATTCGCACGGCTGTTGGCACAAAGGGCTACGAGTACCTTCGTGAACTTGGGTATCCTTTACCCTCCTACAGGACGCTGTGTAACCGACTGGAGACTAAAATCATGGTGACCACAGGCATGAGCTGTGAGGAGCTGGCTGAGCTGGGGCTTGGCCTCATGGCGACATGTGACAGTCCCACACAGGGAGTTGGAGACAATGATGACGAACTAATTGGTGTTTTGTCCTGATTGGTAGAAAATACTTAGACTTCCACCTACAGAAACCAAAGAATAGTTTTGGTCACCCCGTACAGCCTGAAAGAAAGGCCAAAAATGTGTTACAGTTTACAAATCTGCAATAGTGAATAATTGAAATGACAGGCTGTATACATATTGCCTAGAATCCTAACCACCGTGAATGTATGCAAATAGTTTTATAAACTTTGTTCTTCTGAAAGTAAATTTCAGGAGCACATAATCTCTGCAACCTGCATGTAAGGAGAAGTGCGTTAAAACTGTAACTGTTGTGTTTACTCTCAATTTTTAATCCAGACATTACTTTATTTCACTTCAAACTAGTCCTAATTTACATAATCCGTATTTGTCAACTGGATGCAATGGCAAACCGATGACGGTTACACAAAAAGACTGCTTGCCATACCAGTTCTGTCATTCACTCTGACCAATTCAATTCAATTCAATTGACCAGTGTACAAGCTTCTATAATATAGAAAAGCATTCTAAATGGAACTCATTAGTTATGCGATTGTATTCACACTGACTGGACTCTGTAACAGCTGCAAAGGCTATGATAACATTTAGATGAATACTTACAGCAGGAAAGTTTAGATTTTGAACAGCAAATATCTCCTGTCCCTATATTCTGGAACACACCTTGGATATGGTTTGCAAAATGTTAATGTGGAGTTGTCACGTCAGTTTTGGTCATTAATGTCCCTCATGTAGTTGATTGTTTTAAATAAGGAAAACCTTAAATAGCGATAGATTTCAGTCACTGATTTTAAAGTTTCAGAAACAGATTTTAAATAAAGATTACATGTATATTTTGTCACAAAAAAACTAGACCCACTGTGTAACCTTTAGTCAAAAAATGGATAATCGACACATGCATGTTTCTTTTTATTCCCCTTCGGCGTGTATCAGGAAGAACATGTTTTATGTTTACAACCTTGCTAAATTTACTCAAATAAAATGTGTGTGCTTAACGAACTAAAACAGCACTTTGATCTCCTTCTTGTGAGTTCAATTGATTTTTCCCCCTGCTGATGAGTACACTGCCTTTGTTCGAAAACTCTAAAACATGAAAGCCTGAAAACAAGTATGTACACATGTATTATTCTTTTTTTGTTTTATAACAAAAATATCTTGAAGATCATAGAGAAATGTTGTGGGGGGAGAAAACAAAAAAAAGTCACACTCCCCATGCTTTCATGGTCCCAATCTCTGTTTGGTTTTGGGGGAAGTGCTTAATCATTGACAAAGCCTTTAAAAACCACCGCAAATCAGTCTCTCAACTGGGACACGGAGCAGAGAGAGGAGGCAAGTAGAACATTTCACTATCTATGTTAGTGCTTTGTATTGTACTGTATCATTATGAATCTTTGCAGCATTCCTCACCCACTTTGCACATTTTAATTAACTTAGAATAGTTAGTAATTGTATCCCCTTTGTATGTATGGTATGTACGCAAGTTGGTTTTCTTACACTTTAAATCTGGTTGCTTATTGACATTGTTTATCTGGCAGAATGTCTTTTTACCAATACCTCTGTTGCGACACACAATAGCTGTTTTTCGTTTGTTCATCATTTTGGAATCAGTGCCTGTGACCATTCACCTCTTGATAAAGGCACTGGACTAATCCCATTGTCAAAAGCATCGCTGAAGATTTTGGAGAAGAGACTGCCCTTTTGTCACTGATGTTTTATCTTTATTTATAGGATCCCAACAAGGGACAATGAGCGCTCTCTCATCTTTGTGTCTGTGGTGTCTGGCCCTGCCAACTGTGCTCTGGGCCTCTCATGGGACGCTGCTGGTGGAGGGGGACAATGATGCCTCCAAGATCTGCAAGGCTGCCCCCTACTGGGACATCAAAGGCCAAACACCCATGAAGGAGCTGGAGGGAGACGTGGTGGTGGTGGCCCTCCTGAAGGCCAGCTGACAGCTCTGTCTACAGCAGGCGGCCAAGTAACAACTGCACTTTTCATCTCAATGTTTGTTAAATAGTAACTAAGCAACACATTTCATGAATTATGTTCCACCATAAAGCAGGTCAATAGTGTAACTAATCTTGCCTAATATTGGATTAAACATTAGGACTACAGGCATGTATGTCTCTGCGAATTACTGGTCAGGTTTATTGCAGCTGATTGACATACAGAGAACCGGATGACTGAGACTATGAGACTACTGAGATTTTGAGAGCATCAAAATCTGGAGATGGGTTTCGGGCACTGTACTGCAGCGACCACTGCTTCTGACGTAAGCCTTAGCAGCATCAGGATGTGTCAAATGCAGAGGATGAATTGCCCTATGGAGATCAATAAAGGGAACATTTTATCTTTACCTTTCTAAATCCCTGATGAGAGGCAAGCCCTGGCAAATGCAATGATTTACAACTTTAAAGGTGAACATTGGAATTGTTTTCTTGTAGTATTGGCCAGCTGCAGGAGAGGCTAAAGCGCAACAACATGACTGGAGTGTCCTTCATGATCGTGAATGAGCAAAGGGCCACGTCCAGAGCCATGTACTGGGAGCTGAAGAGGAGAGCGCCCCCTGGAGTCCCCGTTTACCAACAAGCACCATTACAAAATGATGTGTGGGAGATCCTGGATGGGGACAAAGATGATTTTCTGGTCTATGACAGGTAATTACTGTAAAATATTTCACAAATGTCAATTTCTAGAAACCTTTTATAATAAAGTAAAATATTATGTTTATGTTTCTTTATGTCACATCTGTGTCTTGTTATAGATGTGGTCTTCTGACTTTCCATGTAGTCCTGCCCTACAGTTTACTGAGTCAGCCCTATGTGGAGGCTGCCATAAGAGCTACTTATTTTAAAAATATTTGCAACTGCACAGTAAGTAAACTTTTCTTTTAAATAAGCAGCAAGCAGAAAAAGTAAATTTCTATGACAATGTGGACAGATGTGGTTAACTTGATTGTAGGAAGAAAACAATTCCCTCTATTGTGACTGAACAATCCATTTCAGTCACAATAGAGTGCGACTGAAACAACCCTAACTTCATTACAATTATAACCAATATTACCATTTAAGTGAATTAATAAGTATTCCCTTATTGCCTTGATATAATTATGCACTCTTAGTGGTCTAATAGAGGAATTACATGTACAATTTGTTTTTCGAGAAAATGTCCTAATTATAAAGGAAATCCTTCACACGCCAAAGTAGCAGATTTTCTAGAAGAGTTCCTTAATCCAGAACAAAACGTTTCCCTAAATGTTCTTACTTCTTTAATATTTCTATTATTGATTTTCTTACAGGCTCATGCTAACCATACCACGTTTGGGAGTGATTTCACAAACAATGGCTCATCACAGCTCAACCAAACGACAACTGTGACTATAGCACCTACAGTGGAGGATAAAGATTCTACACACCACCACAACAACAACCACCACAACCACCACCACCACCATCTACCACAACCAGCCGCGGACCATAACCAAACGAATCCCACATTGTCTCAGCAAAAGAAGTAGACCTAAAGTGACATTAGTTTCATGTATAATGCTTGTTGTACGTATATAGAGATTGTCTGATGCGGTTGGACACTCTGGAAGTTTGTCTTGTTTCTCTCTTTGTTTTCTGGATAGATGTAGTGAAATAATTCTAGTATTAGAGGCTTCTTGCGTTTGATTTGTGATAAGTAGATATGTCCAGTGAATGAAATCTTCTGTGAAAACCTGATACCAGGGAGCAGTGGATGGATGTATTTGGACAAGTACTAACTCATCACCAACCAGACCGAGCGAGTGGATTCTAGTCAATGTTATTGTTCACTCACTTCTGCTTGATACTTTTATTAATAATCTAGACCTATAAGAGTGCAAACCAGGCATAATATACATTGTGATAATTGTGTTTTAACATCACACAAGCATTAGCTTTCCCTATGTTAACAATAAAAGTATATTTTTTAGAAATGTGTGTTTTATATTTATAGATTTTAACCACAGAGTCACTGTGTAAACCTGTCCTGTTTATTTAACTAGGATAAAACTCATTGAGTGTCCTGGAAATAAAAGGGATACCAACATTACAATAACATAACATATAAACATAACATACATGAAATCTGCAGAGTGCAAACTGCTGCATGGAGTTCAAATTCATAAAAGTTGTCACAGGGTTTGTACAAAACCTTGCACTGCTTTGAATATTTTGCTACCACATGTAATTACACGGTAAACCTCCAACGCTCTCCTCCTGGCCAATAGGATTTATCATTGAGTACTTGATCTTCTACACAGCATATGGCACGTCCCTGAAAGACAACAGGTTGGACTACAGGATGGTAGGTCTTCTATTTACATTACCATTTAATATGTAGTTTTATACTGCACATCATAGGGATATTGCAGTTGATCTTGTACCGTTGTAGTCTATTTTTGTTCGGTGATTTAAAAATGTGAACTCGGAAGGTGCCATTTCATTATATGGCTTAGGGTTGGGATTATTCTTGTTCTGCATCATTAACAGAGGAGATTCAAAGTGTGGGGCTTCCTTGGCAAATTTCCAGTGTAAACAGTCTCTCAAACAATGCTTTTAGGTCACAAAGTAACCAGTGTTTTGGTATCTGATAAAAGGTATCCACCCCCTTCCATTCTAGAAAGGGGTTGGACACCTAATAGAAAGAGGATGTAGAAATATTATAATTACACAATAAAAAAAAAAAAAAATATTACTAATTCATGTGATAAATTAATGATGATTTTGTGATAATTATGTTTATCATGAATGTCTTATTGTTTTTTTTTAACAATAAAAATTATACTAGCGCGTATGAATTTGATTTTTTAGTTGTTTCGTGACTTTGCCATAAGATCCTAAGTGTATGTGGTCGATATAAAAATACAACAACCTACCCATTCCATCAGTCACAAGCAAATTTGTTTCACTAGAGGGCGCAATTACTCTTTCCACTCCACCCCCCTCCTGCAGCCATCAAACAGGCGCCTTATTAGTTATTATCTATCACCAGGAGATGCGTCTGGATTAGTGAGAATAATCCTTAAATCTTAATCCATCTTTGTCAGTGGGGGTTGTTGCATCTTTTCTGAACTTTTTGTTGTTGTGATTACAGAGATGTGACTTTTCTTTAGTCAATGATTGATACGTTGAAGAGAAAGATATTGTGGGTGTACTGCGCACTCAGAAAACTAATAGCAGTTCTTGTGATGTCAATTCCAGGATGGAGATACCACTTGGCAAAAACTCCAAGTGCTATATCAAGGGATTCTAGAAAATGGAGGTATGCTTTGAAGGGTTTGTCAATTGCTTTGAGTTGTGATATTGTTATACACGAGAGTGCTATTATGTCCCTTCTCATCTTATCTCTGTCTAGACAAGAGGACAGACAAATGGCTTCTGGTCTACACTCCACTGCCCATCACCTGCATCTGTCTTGGATATTTGATAATTTCATGGTCTGGGCCGAAACTCATGTTAAATAGAAGCCCAGTCAAGATAAAACCAGTGCTGATAGTTTACAATTTTGCCATGGTGTGCCTTTCTGCATACATGTGCTATGAGGTAAGATACACACTGTCATTTCAATTGGAGTATATAGAAGGGGGATCAAGATTCTACTCTAGAAAAATGTTATGTAAGCTTCCAAAAAATATAGACAATTGCTACAAGAACATGGACAATGAAACAGTATTGACGTCGGAGTTGCAGAGGTAAATCTGATTTCTGACTTGCCCATTTGAGGGAGGGTCTGATGCCAGTTAATACCTGGAATGTTGAACAGAAGCTTATTGCATTAAACACACACATAACAATAAGAATTTAATATTTGTTCCAGTGACATTTCTAATAATAATAATAGTAATAATAATATATCAGTTTCATATAGCGCTTTTCAAAAACTCAAAGACGCTTCACAATTCAGGACACACACACATACTCATTCAGACAGACACACAAAACTAAAGGCAGGAAAGAAGAGTTCAAAGCTGAAACTAAGTATTTCTGGAAAATATAAAGGATTAGGGAATGGTATTAGAAGAGGAAAGAAGGGCATTTATGTATAAGTATGCAATGGAACAAAAGACAGTAGTTATGTCCTGTTGATCGATTTTTAGTTCTCCTCATCGGCTTGTCACGATAATTACACTCATGACACTGTATATTATTGGGCCTTAGAACAGCCTTAGCTTTACAGTATAGTGAGCATTTTAGCTGTAGAGAGTTCAGTATGGCTAAGAATGACCTAAATGTGCTGTTTATTTTCTTGGTGTAAGCCTTATAATGAAATATATGAATTGAATAGTTGCTTTACTGCAATCACCCTGCTAATTCAGACCTGGGCAAGCAAAACGAAAAAAGATAATTAAAATTCATTCATCAAATAATAAATGTTCTCAAAGTATCTTCATGATGTATGAAGTAAAAAAAAAAAATTGCCAGAGAAGTTAAAGATGACCTACGAAAAATGTTGTAACCAAAGTAGCTTGTAAAAAGAATAGAACATTTATTTAAAAAATGAAATAAATGGTAACAGCAGGGAATCGGATCTGGCCTTCACAATATGACATTATCCCTATACAGTATGTGCCCTCCAGAGAATAACTGACAAATTCATTGTGTCAGTGACATAAAAATACTACACTTAACAATACATTTTGAATCATAATCAGCGTAACCTCCTCATTAGGCTCCTCCCATTTTTCAGTTCTACTTGATCCAGAAAATGAGTTGGTCACCGGTCTTTATCCTCAGATTGTGATCAAGGAAGTAAGAAAATCGAACCATTGGACATTCAAATATATTGAAAATCACATTAAGTTCACCTGTGAATCAGAATCAGAATCATTTTTATTGCCATGTAAAAAATGACTCTTAGTAAAAAGTATAAAAACTCCCTACTAACCACACCTACTCACTCAGTTTTGCAGTGGTCATAATGATGCAGCTAATATGTGGGTGACTATCCTCTTTGCACATTGCAGACATTATCCCTGCAACAACAAAAATGGCCCCTGAGCATTTTGACAGAATGAGATAAAAGTGTTTATGTATGCAGACAGAGACAAACCAAAGCAGAGATGAAAGCTGCTTTGTGTTTTCAGTTCGCTGCCTCGTCCTGGTTGGCCAAGTACAGTCTGCTGTGCCAGCCCGTGGACTACAGTGACAGCCCACTGGCCATGAGGGTAATGCCTTTTACTGTTTGCACAATACACTGCTATGGGAACAAGCAGCATCCCCTTGTCTCTTTTTAACACCACTATATCATTTTGGAATAGTCTTTTTAAAACCAAATACGCGTCTGAATTAGGCCGTACAGTACTGAACTTGTAAACAAACCCCAGTTGCGAAATTGGTACAGTTCAGAAGCACTTTTCATGTTTTAATTTAACACGGCTGATGGCGCAAAGTTGATATATAACTGCTTTCACTGGACACATGATTTAATGACGAGTTGTTGACTGGTGATGATCATTAAAAAAATTGAGAATAATTGTCCCTTCTAAAACTTGATGGAGTAAAAAAGGTAAGAAGATTCATAAAATAATACATAACAGGGGATCCGCTAACAAAATCAAATATATATTCATGCGCCGCATTGCTATACAGGCCGCAGGGTTCAAAGAGCTTAAAAAGAAAAGAAGGGGCTCATAGTTCAACAAGTACTGTAACTTATTCAACGTTTTACAGCTAGAATGATACAAAGGGGAGGGGTCTTGAGTTGGAAAGAGTGTGTGTGTATGCGTGTGTGTGTGTGTGTGTGTGTGTGTGCGCCTGTGTGTGTGTGTGTGTGTGTGTGTGTGTGCTTTGCTTGTGTTGAAGGAGTGTTGAGAGTTGGAACCAAATAAGAGTATACTTTTGTTATTTATGTGTTTGAAATTAAGTCAAAGGATAAAACAAAGAAGCCCCAAAATAATGTACCACCCATCACTTAGTGAACGATGAAGCCACAGGTCTCACAACCCAATTAGAAACTAGAGACACAAATTTAACATTGTCAGCATGAACTAATCAGGTGAATTTGATGAAAGTATTTTAAACCTTTCCAACCGTTTCCATGTTTTAATAACATTATAGTTATATTTTTTGAGTGTTTGAGTTGATAAATGTGGATAGCACTCTCGCCTCTCAGTAAGAAGGTCCTGGGTTCGAATCCCGGTCGGAACAGTGTCTTTCTGATTGGAGTTTGCATGTTCTCCCCGGGTACTCCGGTTTCCCCTACCAACAAAACATGGTCACTAGGTTAAATCCTCCAGCTCTGGTAGTCCTGACCAAGCCGAGCATCAACATCTGGAGATGGGTTCCTGGGCTCTGTTACTACGGCGACCATTGCTCCTGACGTAAGCCTTCGCGGCATCAGGATGGGTCAAATGCAGAGGATTGAATTGCCCTACGGGGATTAATAAAGCGCACCTTTACCTTTATATATGGCGTATCAACATACTAGTATAGTATATACTATTTGTATTAGTCCACCACTCATAATTGAATACATTCTCGTCTTATAGCCCGGTTTATAACAAGTTAATTACAATGTGATATTTTGTGATTACCGTACATAGTGGGTGGTTTTCAATTGTACTCTGCTGTGTGGACAGATGGCCCGTGTGTACTGGTGGTTCTTCTTCTCCAAAGTGTTAGAGCTTTGTGATACTGTGAGTATAAAGTCTTTTTCTGAACCATGATGTGTTAGTCTGAATAGATAAAACACAAACGCTATCTTTAACACATTTCTTACACCATAGAATTATACGTTGGTTGTATTTCCAAACTATAAACAATGCATTTTTTCTTGCATCTTGTGCCAGATATTTTTCATTTTGAGGAAGAAGGACAATCAGCTGACTTTCCTCCATGTTTATCACCACGCCACAATGATTTTCAACTGTTGGGTCGGAATCAAATATGTACCTGGAGGACAAAGTAAGGGTTTCATACTTGAGCCTTGAATCACTCAAGTCACACACAAAATACCTGGTTATGTTTTGTCCACAGATTTCTTCATCGGTCTGGTGAACTCGCTCGTCCACGTTGTCATGTATTTATACTATGGAATGTCCGCTCTGGGACCAGGAATGGGCAAATATCTGTGGTGGAAACGCTACCTCACCTTTCTGCAATTAGTAAGTCATTTTCAGCTCCATATTGGTAATCATTTTAATATTTCAGAAAAGTGTGTAGATTTTTTAGTAAGCCTTATTCCACTCTGTACTTTTGACTTGAGAGCCAAAGCAATCTCCTATCCTGTGACTTCCTGTTTCTCACATGGCAATACAAATTCTGATTCTGATAATGAATGAATGTATTTATATGGACATTGGGGGAAAAAAATGCATATACAGAAAGTCAACAAGTACAAGTCCAAATAGGAGTAGACTGAAGGGAAAAAACAACTTGTATAACTCCACCCCTTCCTAAAACTTTTCTTTCCAAAACAAAATATTAGTTTCCGTCATTAGCCACATTCAAACTAGCTCATGAACAGTTCTCTCAATTTTTTTTCTTTCTTTATTGTATATTTTGTGATTGTAATGGTCCCAAACTTTGATAAAAGGGGATACAAAACTTGATTGAAATGAATGTTATTGCACTTAACTCTCCTCTTGAGATTGTGTGCAAAATATCGTCCAAATGGTCTGGACTGCATAGTTTAAATATTTCAATGACGTGTGAGAAAAATGTCACATGGCTTCAACACTGTAAGATTAATAGTAGTGATGAACAATTAATTAAATTTTAATAAAGATTGGGATTGAGTAATTTCTAATCATCTGTGATAACCTTGGGAGTTTTTAATAAAGCGTTCGAAAGCCAATCTACTGTCAGTAATAGAATGTGGTGCTGAATTTGCAAAAGAAATTGGCTTGGTGTTGTTCTAAGAAATATATCATGAAAGCCTGTTTATAAGACAAAAAACTAAAATACTTTTTATGACAAGAAGAATTCCAAGAGAAAAAAATAATTATTTGCCATGTAGCCTGTTTATAGAATTACATAACTTTTAGCAAACCCAAATGCTGAATATGTAAATACAAGAATTGAATTTCAACATTAAAATACACAAATTGTATCCGAGGAACTTGTATTTCTCGGATTGTGCGGAGGGCCAAGTCTTAAGTTATGGAAGAAAACGTTGGTCCAAGATTTGAAGTTGGCTCTTGCGTGCAGTACGTTAAGATGCAGCGATGAAAACAAGACCAAATCTGATGATGCTGTAACATAAGGACTTGTAATTGCTTTTTCATTGTTTGGACTGGCAGAAGAAGACAGATTAGTGCTACTGATGCTACCCGGCTAGCTACTGGACCATCTGTTTTCCGCTTATGGAGCTTATGAGGAGACAATGCAGTGGTGGTAGAGGTTCTTCTTGGTCTATATAGCGCAGCACATATAGGTCATGTATCGCAGCTGACTGCCATTATGTAACTGACCAACCAGCTTTTGTTCACGGTTAGACTCACAACTTGGTTAAGATGGTTGAACTAATTAAAATGGCAGTGTTACTTATAAAGGGGACATTTGTAGCCAAGACAAGAATAGCTCAATTATCATTAACAAGGACTTCATACTAAATTTTGAGCTCAATCTCTTAGCTTTTTAAGTGTATTTAATGAAAATAAATTGTTGTATGGTATGTTAAAGGTAATAAAAGATTGTTGAGCATAATATATTACAGAATTGTCACTCTTTATTTTTGTATGAATCCTTTTGGGAAACTTAGAGCTGGAGTAACTCACTTTGAAACCACAACATTTCCCATTGTCAGCTTTTTAAGACATAAAACAGAAAAACGAGGACCATCATCACTCAGCCAATCAGCTCTCAGTATATAAAAAATACAATGTTTTCTAAAGATGAAGACAAGCATGTTGGGGTTTGATTTGTTCACTTTTTTCTCAAACAAGAATATTTAGGTAGGGACACACATGTATTCATGAAACAAAAACAAAGACAGGTACTTCAGCTTAAAAAAAAAAAACATTTTCTTTTTTTCTGTCTCCACCAGCTCCAGTTTCTCCTCGTGACTGGCCACAGCGCATACAACCTGTTTGCCGACTGCGACTACCCGGACCTGGTCAATGCTTTGCAAGTGGCCTATGCCTTGAGCCTCACTGCTCTGTTCTGTAACTTCTACTACCAAAGCTACCTCAGCCGCAAACTCTCAAATAAAACCTCCTAGCAAAAGAGGAACCATATTTAGCTGTATATTTATGTTATTTATGGTTGGCCTAACAAGAAATCCACAAACAATTAGTAAAAAGTCAAACCCTGAATCCTGCAGTAAGTGTTAGGCATGGATCTATTATATTAATTGGATAGGGTATTACTAGCTTGTAGCTGAATAACTCATGTGCTCGGGGGATTCTCGTGGTACTGCAGTCTAGACCAGACTAAATTCACGTGGGCTACCAAGAAATTTTCCCCATAGGACTCAATGTAAATTAAAACAGCGCTACCTCAGCTGACAGAGAACCTACAGCTTTAATAAAGATAGGATTTTGTGGGGATTTTTGTGTCCCTTGTCATCCTGAACTTTTTTTCTTCTTAAATCCTTCGGTTTTGTTTAAATCCACACTTTAGTGCCACAAACTCTGCCCGTCTGGCTCTCGCTCTAACTCCCGCTCTGATGAACTGCTCTGATTGGTCAGAGCGCGGCTGAGCCCCTCTGTGCACGTGCGTGAGACCCGTTGTGAGACCCACACACGCGTGTTTGGCGCAACGCATTATGGGAGACCATCCACTGCGCAGAACCGGGAGGACCAGACGATGCCCAAATAGAGGCGAGTTTCCCATAGATCTTTGCGAGTTTCAGGCAACTTCCGCTAATCTTTCAGCCCCCATGCTGTCACAAAGCGCCACTGAGCACAACCATTCATTTGAATAGGGCGCCATCTTGGATCGCCGAGGCTTGGTGTTAGGCCACTCCTCCCTGATGACTGTTGCTGGATATTGGCAGGAACTGGAACACGCTCCAGAGCATTCCATACATGCTCAATGGGTGATATGTGATGGTGAGTGTGCGGGTCATGCTAGACACGAGTAGTTTTCAGGTGACCAATTCTCATCACGGTTGAATCCTGGTTTTCACTCTTTAGGGCAGATGGCAGACAGCGTGTGTGGAGTCATGTGGGTGAGCGCTTTGCTGATGTCTACGTTGACAATCCAGCGGTCCATGTTGGCAGTGGGGTTATGGGAAAGGCAGGTGTATTTTATGGGCATAATCACAATTTGAATGCACACATCTTCAAAGTGCTCACTGAAACAGGTTTAGACAGATTTGCAAATACATTCGCAGAGTCTCCTTGTTTTAGATCGAACCCGTGACAAATGGGAGCAAAAACAAAAGCGATGTGTTTATATTTCTGTTTCAGTGTATCTTTAAAACCCTTCCCCCTTCAGCTAATGGCAGATCTATTCTTAACGTTAATTTTTACAGACAATCAATTATAGTCTGCATTAGCTCCATATCATTCACAATGCATTAAGCCCCTCCCTTTTTATACATTTAATCTCTTCTGCCAACATGGACCCCCAGCGCACCCTGTGGCCCCCGTTAGCCCATCTGTCATGACACTGAAGAATAATTAAACTTGTCTTAAATTAATCCGATCCTTCTCTCCCGCTGGTGGGTGTATTGCAACATCAAATCGTATTTTCAAATCAATCAATGTATTTTTGTCGAGCCCAAAAGGATAATATTCAAGCGTTTCAAAGGACTTCACATTATAGTTGATTTACTCTTGTTACTTTTGCATATTAGACAAATACGGTCAAAGACGAACCAATTCTAAAAAATATTGAATTCTAGTGTAGTCTTTTTTTCTCTTATTTTTATTTCAACAAATGTGTTTTAGTTGTAGAGAATGTGAATGATAAGGCAACAATTCTCTGGTGGTGGGCGGACGAAATAATTGTAATCTCTTTCAAAATCACAATACTAAAATAAGATTAGATATTCCTTTCATTCCTCCCACAGTGGGGAAATTTCAGTGTCATCGTTGCGCACATTACTGCAGAGAAAGAAGGAAACGAGCACTCAAACTAACTGGAAACACCCGGACGACTTACTCTACTATTTGCTCACGAACAGAATGACAACTAAAAGTAATGAATATTGAAAGTACAGCAGCTGAATGCAGCCGTTTGCTACTGACCTTAGAACCCTGACGAACCACTTCAAACTTGTATTAAAGTGCAGGTCAGTAACTTTTCAAATTGTCTAAAGAGAGATGGACACTGATTGGACACTGAGGAATAAATCCTTGTTAGACGGCTAACCTCACCACTGGGCAAACTTGAATAATGTACAATACTGTAATAAGTTATTGTAATTAAAATGATTTCAGATTCTTTTTATTTGCCATTTGCAGTAAAAAAAAACACATTGGAATACATTAGCAAAAAGTCAAAATCACAAAATCGTAGAATTTGCTTGAAAATTCTACGTAGTGACATTTGATAATGTTTGATGTGCATTGAACTCGAAATAAACGATCACTCAACTCAACTATTCTCCTCAAGCAGGTGAAAAATACTTTTGAATAAATACATTACATAAATAAAACACATCCCATGGAACTAAATTTGTGGTTTCTGCTTGTCTTTTTTGTCTTTGTATGTTGCTATGTCAAAGTAAAGAATAAACAGAAATATACAGATTGCCTACAGTACTACTACAAGAGTGATGAGTAATGTCTATAATTAATATTTTCTGAACAATGGCTGTAAAATCATACATTATGCCAGGGTTTGTTATCGTCTGAGCGCAACAGTGAATCAGACGTCACGTCCCAGCTTGTTTGTAGATTCAACCTGTGGACTGTAATGAATATATTACACATACAAAATCTAAAATATTTTACAAGACCCGCCATTTCTCTATAGCAGCAACTATGTTTCTTTCATCTCTACGGCATATTGGTTTTGACACTTTTCTGTTCCAAACTCTACAGGGGACAAAAAAAACAGAACAGGGCACGAAATAAAAACACTTTGAAGTGACTGAATCAAAAGTTCCAAAGGCAACTGCTAAAGCGAATCATTTTAATACCAATCAGAGCACAATGTGAAAACTTGACAAAGTTCAAAGCATTGGCAGCCCACAACAAAGAGCATGCTGTCTCTCAGGCACAGCACTGCGGATGTGACAAGGTGAAGTGTCGCTCAAATCTTTAAGTTCATGAATGCGTCGACTCGGAATCTTCCCTTGAGCTTCAGAAGGACACCCTGAACAGAAAGTTTGTATGAAAAGTTTTTACAAGGATGGGGATATTTCTCATGAATTTCCCAGGACAATACTTGCACCAAGGTTTTGTGTTTACCAAAACACCTCCAACTGAAATAGATTTTTTGAACATGAACCAGTCAAACATATATTTAGGTTATATATCAGGGTCGAACTGAACCCTGTTGCATATTCAATGAATATTATACCTCAATCTTAAAATGCCAGAGTTACAGGGCCCTTAGATTGTTACAGTACCATATTTTGCATGCTGAAGTCCTCCATCTCCCTCCATCTTAAAACAAGTGCATTGAAGACTGATGGATACTCGCCTCCTGCAGCCCGTCTAAAGTGTATGTCCCTGGGCTTTGCTGCAGGCAGTGCTCCAGGTTGATTACTGCTGAGTGCTCATGACTCTCTGCCACACGAACGCTTTCATCAAATTATGATATGAACCAGATGGTGGCTATACCTCTGTTTAAGCAGGTAATGTGATTTTAACACATTTCTGTTACTTTGTGGATACATTTGGATTTTAAAATACTGTAAACATTATTTACCTCTCCGGTATCGCTTTATTTAAGAAAGTTGGTACAGAAAACAGACTTTGGCCAATCAAAAATATTTGCTTTAGCTGAAATGATACTGCAACTGCATGCAGGTGAAAAGGTTTTATTATTTATAATTTTTGTATAGCCCTAAATTATGACGGCAGGACTTTACAAAGATATTGATTCACCAACAGAAGATCGAATAATCAAACAGTTTGAACACAGTTGGAAAAGCAATACTAACAAACTCATAGGAGCCATCGGTCCATAGGTGGCTGGATGACTAATGTCCATAAATGTCCTTAAATGTCCCGGATCACCACTATCCTTAGACCTGCCAGCAAGAATTCAAAAACCCACTGGATAAAAAGTGAGAAACCTTGGGGAGGTCCACATTGAGAGACAAATCTGCTCCTATGGACGGACAGGCTATAGATTCAGGACTCCTTTTTAATTCTGTCATTCATTATGCTTTATTTCATGAAGTAGAACACATGAGGATTTTAATGGAAATAGACAAATGTATTTTTTAAAAAGCAGACAAAATAAGGAATGTCCACAAATGTCCCACTCTTGGTGAGACAGCGAGTGAAGGGGATGGCACCCTGTAGCCACCACCTTTTCAGCCACTTTGAGCCCCAAGAGTGTCACATTACACTGGTCTAATAGGTTTAGCCAGGGATGCTCAAACTCTGTAGTAAGATGGCCACTTTAGTCCATCAGCGTTGTCTAGAGTCAGACAACATGAAATGTAAAACCGTTTTGACTGGGTGCAGGCTGTTCATGGGGAATGACATGTCCATGTTTTGAGCTGAAGACAAATGTTCTCAGCAGCTATAGCGCTATCTACATAATTTTGTGACTCAAATATCAATGTCACTGTGTACTTAAACACAGTCAATTGATGATTCTGAAGGTTTAACATCTCAAAGACTACTTTGTGTCAGGGAGGCAGCGAACCACATACAATAACACAGGGCCAGAGGGCCGTGATTGGCCCACAGGCATTAGTTTGGACATGCCTGGATTAAGCCGATATTGGTTAGATTAATTTGCATTTTGCACTATACCAACATAAACTGGTTGAAACCACAGTACCTGCGTATTAACCTTAGCGATTAGTAGAATATGTCCAATGTGGCACATATGTGAAAGCTTGATCCTGCCAAACCTCAGAAGCTAAGCAGGGCAGGGTCGGCTTGGCACTGTGATGGGATATTGGTTGTTACAACCAAAAGATCGGCCCGACACTAACTACCAACTAAAACCTGTGCCTATACTGCTTTTCTCCAATCCGGACTTAATGTGCCATTTGAAATTGTCCATTCCTCATCTGCACTTCAGCTCTGTATGGATGATAACAATTACCAAAACGTCCTTGCGCATTTATTTTCCAAATCTTGT